AAATATTCGAATGATTGATTATTCTCATATATTAAATCACATCAAGTAAATATATATTATATAACATTTCGACAATACAGTTATAACCCGCAACATTTTCATCCTTTAGCGAATGAAAGACATTCAAAGGATCTAACGTAAAAATTTATCTCGAAATGGGACTAGAATAAGGAAATCATAATTGGAATAAAATCGGTCTTTATTTTTACAACTTAGATCCTTTCAAAGACGAGTCGTTTGGCACGACTCGGTATATTTTTTAGCAACACCACCTTTAACGTTCAAATTTTTGATCCCTTGAGAATTGTTTGATAAGCAGGTTATAACTGTAGAATCCTGTTTAAAAATATTAAGAGAAGAAAAATGATATATCAAAACTTTTCAAATTTATGTAGAAAAACTTTGATATCTCAACCTAGAAAGTTAGAATATTGGAAAATTTGGTGCTTCAATATAGCAAATATGTTTTTTTTAAGTTAGAGGCTTGAAAAATTAGGAACATAAGTAGTGATCATTCCATTCTTGTGAATATATATAAACTTTAGAAGAAGGGGAAACAAATATAATTTTTTAAGAATTTAAATAATATTTAGGTAATGTAACATTATTAATATTAATTAAAGAAAAAGATTTTGTTAATTAAGATTTTATTTTTCGGAATTATAAAATAATTTTTTATCTCTAACCCTTATAATATTATAAAAAAAATTTTTTAGGAGTTAAGATTAAATTTTGAGGAAAGTATTTTAATAGGAATCAGAACCTGCTCAGTGAATATCATAATAAAAGCAGGAAGTTATAATTAATTTGACAGGTATCGTCATAATAACTTACAATTAAGAAAAGGACATTATTGGGTTCAGCCGTCTTGTAAATTATTCGAAAATTTAATTTTTTTGCCTTAGAGTTTATTTTATAAAAAGAAGATTTTAAAATATCATTTTTTTACACATGTCTTTTCATATAACCACTTTGGAGGCAAATATAAATACCTGTTTGTCATATATATATCAAAGATAAATATATAACAGAGCAACGCTTGGTTCTCTTATAAGAGCCCATCTAACTGGGATAAAAAGAGGAAATATTTAACTAAATAAGAGAAAACCATTCACGTTTTTTGGGCAGGCCGCAGTTACCTGTGCGCGCAAGAGGCAAAGTCCCTTACTTAAACGCCGATGGGAAAGTAAAAGGAGAGGTCAAAAGGCCCATGCCCGATTAAATATAAGTTTATTTATGGAGGGGCTATATTGGCTATGTTAATTTTACTTTCAATTTGCATTGTGAGAAACCTAGAAATAAGAACCTAGAAATAAGAAATGATTATAATATTCATCTATCGTAAATAAAAAGCCCATGCCCGATTAAAATAAAACTAGATTATGGAAGGATAATATTAGCTATATTGATTTTATTTGAAATAATATTGAGAAATAAATAATAACTCAGCTTAAATAAATATAATAACATAATGTTAGAGTAGTATGCTAAAACTAAGGTTAAAGAAAACTTACGTTGAGCAATAATAAATCGAATAACCATCCAATGAGTGTACAGTATTAGGTTTAGGAATATAAAGGTTATGTAGAAAAAATTTTGGAATGGGCTTGAAAATGGTAAAGAGGAGAATGAAATTTCTAAAACCTCCTAGAGGGATTGAATGAATACTTAGGAAAAAACTATCGATCTATAAGGTAGTTGGTTTTCATTTTAAAAAGTTTATTGATTGAACTTTTATTATTATTCAGATGTGTAAATTGAGTTAGGCTTATGTTCAAATTCAGAATGTCAAATATAGTTTTATTTAACCAGTATGTTTTATAATTACAGTATCTTTTGTTTTTGTAGATCGGTAGCCAGTCCAGAGCTTCATAGGCCAAATTATTTCCCGTATTTCTCAGAATATGCGCAAATAATTGAATTCTTCTTTTCTTTAGCTGTACTGCGACTGGAATGTGTTTGGATAGTTTCCATAGACTAATATTTGTAATGACTCTAGGATATATATATCCATTTATAAGTCTTAGGCATCTATTGATATAGACTTGAAGTTTTTTAGTTTGAGTTTTATTTACATCCCAGATATCGCTTCCGTATAGAAGAATGGGGATGATCAACGAATTGAACAGCTGTAGTCTACTTTTGACTGATATTTCTCTTGTTATCCATAGTTTAAAATATTTGTAGAATATCCATTTTGCATGTTTGAGTCTTAATTCTATTTCGTTCTTTATATGTCCTTTGTTGTCTAGATTTACTCCAAGATATTTGAATTCCTCAACTAAATTAATCCCTAATCTTTCAGCAGTATAATTTGGATTTATCTCTACCCATGGAGAGGGCATTATAACTGTTTTTTTAAAGTTAATCATAAGTCCGATTTCGCTGCTGTATGATTTAAGGATATCGAGGATACATATAACTTGCCCCATAGATTTCGTAATGATTACAATATCATCAGCATAGGATATGATACGGTGTTTTAAGTACAGGTTATTTTGGTGAGATAGATTTAGTAAGTTAAACGCTCCTAATGTATCTGCGATAATTTTATTCATAACAATATTAAATAGGATAGGAGACAGAACATATCCTTGTTTAACTCCTTTACGTACCATAAAGGAAGGAGATTGGACATTCTCTACTTTAAAGGTAGACATCAGTGAGCCATAATGATTTCTGAGGATTCTTATTATGTTTAAGTCCACACCACTATCTGTTAAGATATTCCATAGAACTTCATGCTTGATGCAATCAAATGCTTTTTTAAAATCTATGAAGATGAAGAAAAAAGGTAGTTTATATCTGAAGCATTTTTGTAAGGTAATTTTTAGCGCTAAAATGGGTTGAAGGATGTTTCTACCTGGTCTGTAAGCGCAAATGTTATTTGATAATAAATGGCTAGTAGAGTTTACTATTCTATCTTTTAGAAGTACCATGAAGACCTTAGATGCTATAGACGTCAGCGCAATAGCCCTATAGTCATCAAAAGTGGATGGATTGGAAACTTTTGGGAAATTGCAAATAAAGATGTTCCATTCTTGGAGTAACACCGGAAACCCAAATTTTATTAAACAACATCAGTAAAAACACTGAGATATAATCTGGAGCGACTTTTAAGTGTTCCGCTCTAATGCAATCAAGTCCGGCCGCCTTGTTATTTTTCAGTTTTAGTATAGCCTTTTTAATCTCCGACGTAGTAAAATTTGAGTTGGTGGGGAGTAGGTCATTCTCCGTAGGAAGTATCACATGATTGGAGTTGAACATCTCAGAATAATGTTCTAACCATAATTTCATTTGTACTTCAGGGTCTCGAATGATATTATCACCAATTTTTAATCTGGGAAGACATTTAAAATTTGAAAGTTTTCCGAACATTTTCAATTTCTTATAAGCATCAAATAATCTGTTGCATCTCACATCTGCCTCAATTTCATTTGCTCTATTGACCACATATTTCCTTCTATCTGACCTTAGAAGTCTCTGTATAGTTTTCCATAGATCCACATCTCTATAGCTTTTGGTTTTTAGTTCCGCTATTTTGGATTCTGTGGTCGAGGATATCCATTCTTTAGGGGGAGGGCCTCTAATTTTTGTAAAATTCTTACAATTGAGTAATAGGATGTTTTTGAAATCACTCCAGCAGCTTTCCAGGGTTGAATTCCGATTAGTTTGCATGAAACGATTTATTTCTAGAGAGAGCTTAATCGAAATTTCATCTTTGACTAATGGACATTTTAAATTATTATAGTTTTCCCGAAAGCTTAGTTGGCGGGGAGCTACTCTCTTAGATGCACATAAAGTATTTTTGTTTCTCCACAATTCACTATTGATCATTAAATGTCCTTTCACTATTTTGTGGTCAGAGATGTTGACTGTAGTAATCGCTCTCACATCCAAAAACCAGTTATGAATGTTTGACAAAATAAAATCAATTTGTGAGGAATATTTATTTCTATAGAAAGTAAAAGTGTGTTGAATCTTATGTTGAAAAAAAGTATATATAACACATACAATGTTTAACAATGAAAGATAAGACCAAAGTTGTTTTCATATCAAAATCTCTTAGAAAAAATGGCGGATAATAATATGATGGTTTGGTTTCGAATTTATTTATGGCTAGTAAGTTTTATTTGAATATATAGTACATCTTTTTTAAATATTAACTTTACAAAACACTATGTTTATTATACGACAACAAAGTAGTAAATTGGAATTTGGAAGCTAGTCCTCCCAAGAAAATTTAGCCTCCTCCAAAAAAAATTTGCAATAAAAAAATGCGGTTTTAACAATATTATATCTAGTTAAAAGTAAAATTTCAATAATGAGCTATTACAATAAATTAATCATTACTATAATTTATTTATCTAAATTTATTATAATATAATATGCTGGATATTCCTTAATTCTATTCTAAAATTAATGATAATAAACCATTAGTACGGCGTAGCCAAAATTTTGCTGAGAGGGGGTCACAATATTGGGTGGTGGTTTACCCCATAAATTTTATTTGAGATTTCCATTTATTATAGATCATTGGCAATTTTACATATTTTTAAAAATAAAGGTTTCTAAACATTTTTATAAAAAAAATTTATGATTATTATTTTTAAGTGTTTGTACAGAAAAATAAGGAAATAATCTGGACCAAATATAGATAATATACAAATAACTTTAAGCAAAAATGCCTAGATACTGGCATTTTCCTCCTACTAAGAATTCTCGTTACGGCTTAGATGACACCCCTTCATATTATGTGCCCTATTTTTTAATTTTCAATTATATTTGATTCGAGATTAAATAAAGATTATAAGCAATTTATCTGAATTGTAAAAGCTATATTTATCATTTTTTTATTTTGGTTAGAATGTACTGTCTCACCAAGTAAGATGGTTGTTTTCTATTATCGAGATATGCTATTTATTTATTTATTTATATTATCGAATTTAAGAAATGTATTTATAAATTAAGTATATAACCAGTTAATATCACCTATTTTAAAATAAGGAACCGCAAAAGGGATCGTTATCTATACCGGTGATAAAACTGTTATGGGAAGGATTGCTAATTTAACCTCAGGAATCAGTATAGGAGAAACTCCCATACACAAAGAAATAAACCACTTTATCCATTTAATAACAGGAGTCGCCGTGTTCCTGGGTGTCGCATTTTTCGTCATTGCTATGATATTCGATTATACCTGGCTTGAAGCAGTTATATTCTTGATTGGAATTATTGTTGCCAATGTGCCGGAGGGCTTATTGGCAACAGTCACAGTATAACATTTAAATATATTTTCTCGAATATTGGACATCTAACTAGGACCATAATTATAAACCTTTTCTTATAGGGGCCCGGGGGTATGTTGTTTTTAAAATAGGATAAGCGGTCTACCGGCGATTAGACATTTCGCCTAAGACGTTTCTCTATAGCTATTTCATTTAACGAGAGCTAATATACCAGCAATTCACCTAAAGACATTTCGCCTAAGGGCCCATAAGCGCTAATGAGTGCCAATAAGCGACAATGAGTGCTATCAAGCGTAAATTAGGGACTTATAAGCGCTCATAAGTGTCAATAATCGCTAATGAGTGCCAAACTATTAATTTATTAACCAAAGCATCCACACTCTCCAAATACCTATCATTGTTAAATCCGGGTTTTTATTGCAATTGACAATATTGGCGCTTGTTGTGACTCATTGACGCCTATTGTTGGACTCATTAGCGCTTGTTGCCACTTAACGAAATGTCGTGGGCGAAATTGGCGCGTATTAATACGTATTTAAGCTTGTTAGTACTCCTAGGCGAAAATAGAATAAGCATATTAGATATACTAATTTAATTAAATTGATCATAATTTATGTATTATTTATATATTTTACATTAAATCACCTCTAAGTGTATAAAAATAGTAAAAAACGCAAAATCCATTAGGTATCAAAAAAGATTGAGGGATGGCCCGGCTCCCTACCCCTCCTATAGTTAAAGCCCTAGATCTAGTAGATTTTTTATATTTTATTAGAAATAATATTAAATAAGGTAGATAAAATAAATATGTTAATCTTGATTAGTTAAATTGAATATTGTTTAATTTAATCATTATAATTTCATGATAAATTATCTAAAATGTTAAAAATATAAATAAATCTTCAAACAAGAAAATAATTTATTTTATCTATTAGGTATGCTTAACACTGACCGCCAAAAGAATGGCCTCCAAGAATTGCTTAGTTAAAAACCTAGAAGCAGTCGAGACATTGGGATCGACATCTACCATATGTTCGGATAAAACTGGAACTTTAACCCAAAATAGAATGACAGTTAGCCATTTATGGTTTGATAAACAGATATGGGAAAGTGATACATCTGAATTATTAGCAGGTCACATTGAATAAAAAAATATTTTAACATAATAATTTTATATATATTGTATAATTTAGACTTTGAAATCGAACAAACGCCATCCTTCATGTCGATTATGCGCATAGCTATATTGTGCAATAGGGCATCATTTAAACCAGGGCAGGACAGTATTCCCATATTTCATAGGTAAAACTTTGGAACTCGCCTGATTTTCGGATCATTTGAACTAATTTTTTTTTGCCCAAAAAACTCCTGCGCTAAATATTGCCGAGGAGATAGGGCTAGAAAAATTTAAGCTTGAAAATTGGTCTTGCATATTTAATTTATGCTATTTTAATAATTACTTTAGAGATTGTATCGGGGACGCCTCGGAATGCGCTTTGCTGAAATTCTCGGAAACGGCCATAGGAAAATGTGCGGAATATCAGAACAAGAATAAGAAAATTGTTGAAATTCCGTTTAACTCAACGAATAAATATCAGGTTATAATATTAATTAATCGATATTTTTTTTTATCGAAAGATCATATATCAAGGAAAATTTTTAGATATCTATTCACGAGTGTCACGACGATAGTATCGACAAATCCGAATATCTGCTAGTCATGAAAGGAGCGCCAGAGAAAATATTAGACGCTTGCAAAACTTACCTGTCCAGAGAAGATAATAATAAAATGAGCGTTAATTTGCCAATTGACAAGGAATTTCTAAACGAGTTCAATTTGGCTTACGTTCAATTAGGAAGTTTAGGTGAAAGGGTTTTAGGATTTTGCGATTGCTGGTTACCGATCGAAACCTACTCCCATGGCTATTTTGATCAAAAAGATTTTGAGTTTCCTGCCATAACTAATTTTAGGTTTGTAGGTTTGATATCTATGATAGATCCACCAAGAGCCGCCGTTCCAGATGCGGTTAGTAAATGCAGAAGTGCCGGTATTAAAGTACAATATTTTAAATGCTCCATAAGATCTTCAAAGTAAATAAATATATCGCTTTTTATTATTTTTATCTGTACTGTGGATTAAAATAAAAGATTTACAATTAATTTCTATCCAAAAAATTAGGTAATATCTTTTTTTAGAAATGATATCCTAGATGGTCAACTGTGGGAATCACATGATTTAAATTATAATATTCTTTTTTTTCTAATAAGGTAATAATGGTTACTGGAGACCATCCCATTACCGCAAAAGCCATAGCTAAATCTGTTGGGATAATATCTCCAGAGAATGAAACAGTTGAAGATATAGCAGCCAGGCTAAATATTAAGCCCGAAGAAGTGGATACTAAGTATAAATGCTATAATAAATGATATTTGTATAAATAAAACACTCGTATAATTTGAGGAAAAATTTTGGACACTCAAATTATACAAGTTTTGCTGTATTTCAAGGATTAATATACGTATAATTTTTACGAGGAAGAGATGTTACAGCATGTGTCATTCATGGGACAACGCTCAAGGACATGAAAGAATCTGAATTAGACGAAATCCTTAGGAAACATTCTGAAATAGTATTTGCGAGAACTTCCCCACAACAAAAGCTGATAATAGTGGAAGGTTGTCAACGCCAGGGAGCAATTGTTGCAGTTACCGGAGACGGTGTCAATGATTCGCCTGCTCTTAAACAAGCCGATATTGGTTATAAAAATTTTTTAAATTGATTATATAAATTGAGGCACGTGCGATTCGCCTCAAACTTAGGTCACTCCAAAATCTTGCGCAACTTTTTCTGATATAAAATTTACCAATTGTTTTCAGACTTGAAACTTCACACTGGGGCATTTAATAAGGAAGGTAAGTGCATGAAAAATAAATACATATAAAGTTTATAAGATAAGAATATCTATCTGAAATAATAAAAAATGTTCCTTAGTTTGTTAAAACACAGTATATTTTGTATACTTCGCCACGAATTCGTGCTAACTGTGAATGCATGGTAAATCTTCATTCACAGTTAGAGTAAATTCGTGACGAAGAATTCAGAAATAGAGAGTATTTTGTATAATTGCAGCGAATTCGCGCTAACTATGAATGAGGGGTTAGCTAGAATTATACGAATTCCTGTTTTATTTTATTGAATAAGGTTTAAAAAATATCGAAATAATATATTAATAAAGAAATATAAAAAAATGATTTTAGGTGTTGCAATGGGCATCGCTGGTAGTGATGTAAGCAAGCAAGCCGCCGATATGATTTTACTGGATGACAATTTCGCTTCGATAGTCACTGGGGTTGAAGAAGGTTTTTTAATAATCAAAATTCATTTCATAAAGTAAAATTATTTAAAAAAATTAGAAACTTTAGAAAAATAGATCAATCGCTAATATAAATTTTTTAATTTTCCACCTAAAATTTGAAAAAAGATCATATTTAATCTTTAAACTGTGAAGATAAATAAATATCTATTATTTATAAAATAATTGCTTTTTAAAAAAAAATGTTCGGAATAAAAAATAATATATTAATCTGTATAACCATGAATGATATTATTTTTGGCGAAAAAATTAAGTGACAAAATAAATAAGAACCTATACTAAATTTATTTTTTGTAAATGAAAAATAATTATATCTAGGTAGATTAATTTTCGATAATCTGAAAAAGTCCATAGCATATACGTTGACTAGTAATATACCTGAGATTAGCCCGTTTCTAATATTCATATTAGCAAATATACCTCTACCATTAGGAACAGTTACAATCCTGTGCATTGATTTAGGAACTGACATGGTTATTATATCATTCTTTTACTAAAAACAAATAATTTCTTTTCAAGATTCCGGCCATATCATTGGCTTATGAAAAGGCTGAAAGCGACATTATGAGAAGGAAACCCAGAAATGCATTATACGATAAATTAGTTAACTCCAGGTATGTGAGTTTTGATACCACACAAGAGCATATTCTTTATAGTTATATTAAATTATCCCTCATCAAAAAATAACTTAAATTTAGATAGAAAGAAAATTGATGATGTAAAATGAGTTAATAAAGTATGAAAATATATTTAAAAAAATAATAATATAGCATGGTTTATTATTGGAAGTATCAACTGATACGGGTGAGTATTGATAGGCATCACTGATTTACACCATACAAAATACTAAAATTCAAATGCTATTTGTAAAAATATAAAGGCTCATTAACGTTGCATACGGGCAAGTTGGAATGATACAAGCGGCGGCAGGATTTTTTACTTATTTTTTGATAATGGCCGAAAATGGGTTCCTTCCCAAAAAACTAATTGGCTTGAGGCTTAAATGGGATTCCGAAAGTGTTACCGATTTGCAGGACTCCTACGGACAAGAATGGGTATATCTTAAATCAATTTTCTATTAAGATAATCATTAAGTTATTCGTTGCTTATAGACCTATGAGAACCGAAAAATATTGGAATACACATGTCACACAGCCTTTTTCGTTTCGATAGTCGTAGTTCAATGGGCAGATTTAATTATCTGTAAAACGAGAAAAAATTCCATCGTACACCAAGGAATGACGTAGTCAAGATTTAATTTATTTCTTATGTTAAGTATATATAATTATATTAAATTTTTTCCACAATATTCTGAAGTTCAAGGAATTAATAAAAGGATTTAGTTTCTACTAAATTACCAAATTTAACTTTGAATGATCAAGAAGGGATGGGCAGAATCTGCCTAATTCATTTGAAAGATAGCAGTTTATTTTAAGAATCATAGTTTTTTTTATACAAAAAAAACATTATAGAAACTGGGTCTTAAATTTTGCCTTAGTCTTCGAAACAGTTATTGCTGCAATACTGTGTTACACTCCAGGCTTAGATAAGGGCCTACGCATGTATCCATTAAAGTTCGTATATATATAATATATACACTTCTTTTTCTTTGTCATTTTAATGATTATGATAATTTTGTAAAAATTGACTTGAAAATAATGATATTTAAAAAAATTACAGTAATTTAGCAAACATCAATTTATTAAAGAATATTTAACATTAATTTATTATTTTTCGAAAGATTTTATTGGTGGTTACCAGCAATACCTTTTAGTATTTTGATCTTTATCTACGATGAATGCAGAAGATACTTAATAAGGCACAACCCAGGTGGATGGGTAGAGAGAGAAACTTATTATTAATTATAAAAAAATCAAACTGAAATTTCACATATGATATTCTTATTAGCTTTTAATGTCAATATGTATATAATATACTTTTTTCACATAATGATTGTTATTTACATTTTTGAATCAGAGTTTAGCGTTATAGAATCAATATTTTATTGATATATTAAATATTTGTATAAAAAATATATAATAAAAATTAACAAAATGCTAAGCTGATATAAGCTATAAAATACAAATTTTTTTTAAAGATAAATTAAATAATAGTTTATATGATGCAATTAAATAAATATAAAGCATACAACCATTCTGGATTAAATAATCTATTTCTTGAGCCTACTTAATTTTTTAGATTTATCTTTGATCGGAATTATGGAATTGTCAGTTTCCATGGTCGATAGATGTCTATTGTACAAGCTTTTGTATATATATTATTTTTTTTGTGATAAAGTTTATAACAATTATTATGTGATATGCCAAATATTCTGTAAACAAGTAATTTACTAATAATAAATATTGTTAAATCAATAGATTTATGAATGTAATTTTTTAAAAAATATTTTTTGTTTGTTTTATCATGAGCACACATGAACTTACAATTTATAAGTTTGAGTTTTGATATAATTGATGACATGATTAACTCCCAATCTCAATTGATCGGAAATAGGGGGCAACCAAGGGTTGTTATCCATTTTAAGCATTTGCTTATTGGCTAAAGATTCAATTTCGCCTATAAAATATTATTATTTTATTTTTTAATATATTTTTGTGGTTCAAATTCGAAATGTAAAGCATAAAATTCAAAATAGTATTAACTAATCTTAATAAGTTTTAAAAAAAATATATTTAAAAAATTAAGGGTAGGAAATTAAGCATTCAAATTTAAAATAAAAAAATCAACATAAAATATAACTTAATTCGGGAGGTAAAACAGATAAACGATTACCACTAATATTTAATTCTTTCAATTTAGTTAATTGGTTGAGTTCCTTGGGTACCAGAATGAGATCATTTTCTCGAAGATTCAACTATAAACATGTTAAAATATATACAATATGTTATATAAGTAATTTACAATTTGTAGATTTTTCAATTTTCCTATTTCAGGAGAAATTATTTCAAAATCGTTATCACCCAAATATAGTGCCCTTAATGTTGCTTAATTAAAAAATAATAATATGGAAAATATAAATAAATGCCTAATAAAATATTTAATAAAAAAAATAATAATATGAATTGCTAGTTATGTATTATTGGCAAGCAGTGCAGAATCTCATGTTTGACATATAGAAATTGTTCAAATATTTTTATGAATTGCTAGTTATGTATTGTTGGCAAGCAGTGCAGAATCTCATGTTTGACATATAGAAATTGTTCAAATATTTTTATGAATTGCTAGTTATGTATTGTTGGCAAGCAGTGCAGAATCTCATGTTTGGCATATAGAAATTGTTCAAATATTTTTATTTTTTTCTATTAATATTAATTTATATCATTGTGATAAAAATGGCTAAAAGTATATTCAGAAAAATATTATGCAAGCCAGATTATGCTTGTAGATGGCACAAAGGTTTGGACATCTATTAGTAAAATTTCAAAGTTCAGGCAATATTTTTCTGGATAAAATATTAAGTTAGCCGTTTTTAAAAATTGGCTAGCAATTTTACATCATTAATAATAATATTAAATAAGTAAACACATTTACTTATTTTTTAATTATCGGTGGCAAAAAAATGAAGATCTAAAATATACATTTATTGCTCATATTTTCAATTTCCCTTTAAAACAATTTACAAAATATAGCTAAATTATTAAAAAATCTAAATTAAACCTATAATTTTGATTTTTGGTCTTTGAAAAATATATTACACCATAAAATAATTATTCAATAATAACTCTGATAATTTAATTGTCTATTTTAAACATGAAATAAAAATAAATTTAAATATCTACCACCACCAGATATTTTTTAAACTTTCTTAATTGTGATATTCAATCTGACAAAACTTTAAGAATAGGAAGAAAATATATTAATATTTTTTCCATTTGCCAATTTGGCCAGCGACAGGAATAAAGATTAGAAGCAACATGGTGCAGCTCAAAATGGGGAAATTTTTGAAAATGTCTTTTGACCTGGCACATAAAGTATCTTGCAAAAGCTTTGGGATCGTGCTGGGAGACCCCAAATAAAGATATCCTTGAATTTATATGTGCAAAAAATAAATTTCACAAAAATGTCAGATATGAGGATCTGCTGTATAGCTGCTAGATTTTAGACATAAATAAATATTTTAATTTTTTTAAATTGTTTGTAAAAAAATGATTAATGGAAATGCACTAGGTAACATATAAAAAGTTCCACTTGATAAGTAGTAACTTATGATGAATAATTTTAAATAATCAAACAGAGATGATCTAGTAATTGATAATATTGTTAAGTAAGGGTGTTACTTTTCATTTCCCAAATTTGAGAAGTATTATATATTATATTTTTTAAAAAACTTTAAATAGGATATTTTAAGTATTGACTATTAAATATTTAAAAAAACTGTATATAGTTTATAACATTTCTTTTTGGAATTCCAAAAATTGATTTTTGATAAATAGCATTTTATGTAATTAAATATTTTTTTTAGGTAGCATGTTAAAGCTACTTTTTAAAACTAATAGCTATTATTGTGCTGCTTTTTTTAAAAATAAAGTTTTACTTTAATAAAAATTAACACCAATACAAAATACTTACAAAGCATGTAAAAATTGGAAGGTAATGATTTATCTGTTAAATTATTATATGTCAAATCTAAGATTTCCAGAGTTGCACATGATCCAAACCCACGTGGCAAATTTGATAATCTATTAAAACTAATAATTTTAAATGTATAAGTAATATAAAAATAATAGTATTACGCTAAATTAAGAATTCGAAGTTTAGGCAATGTAGATATTGTTGTTGGAATTTCCTATCAAAATAGTATACGAAATGATAAAAAATAAATATTTCTAACATAACAAAATTCAATTACCTCTATTTGATTATTGAAACAATTTAAAATTTCCAAATTTTCCAATTCTGCAATTCCAGGTGGTATTGCTAAATTATATATTTATTTATATAAATTAAATTTCTAATTACATTCGATCTTATTATGGCTTATGGTTAATCTGGTTAGTTGCTTTAAACTAACTAAAACATAAATAATTATTTATATATATATATACTATATACATAATCCTGGTAGATCATAAATATTTACCAATCCTTTGTCAACTATATCTAATTCATCTATGTTTTTATCAATACATTCTTCAACATATTTTCTAAATTTAGTCATATCGATAACGCAAATTCCCGAAATGTTTGATATGTCAATCATGAATTATTTTAAATATAAATGGTGAATTCCATATCAAATCAACCAAGGTTTCAACCCGACTCCCTTCAATTAAGTTTTGTATACTGGTAGTATATACTATAACTAAGAAAAAAATGAAATTTTACCTTCCAACACTGTTTACCCGCTAAGATATAGCCGTTTAAAGTGCAGAAAAATGGTACATTTTTTACAAAATGCACCTCATTTATTTTCAAATATCAGGAGAAATAATCATGTTAAAAAAATTATTTAAATTTTATTTTGTAACTTAATAAAGGTTCTTTAAAATGACATAAAAATAAATATGAATTTTATTAATATCGAAAACCGGATGTGTAAAACCGGAAATGGCCATCAAGGATGTAATCAGACCAATAATCAAGCCACTATCGACTCTTTTATAATTTATTACCGTAAGAACAACATAATAAAACATGTAAATTTAGTGGTTATATCAGATTGTTTAAAGCACAACGCATGTGCATTTTATTTATTTTAAAAATTAATCATATTCTTGAAGGAAAAATTTAATAGATTGGCTTACATTTATTATTTTTCTGATGGAGCAATAAAATATTAAAATAAAGATTTCATTAATCTCTACAATCATGAAAATGATTTTGGGATAAAGGCTGAGTGACATTTTTTGAAACCGCACAATGTAAAAGTCCATGCGACTTGGGGGCCGTTACTAAACGGTTAGCAGCTCGAGCAAGCTTGCAACGTCCATATGAACATCACATATTGACAACAATAGATTTATTTAACTATTTAAGAAATAATATCTATGGAGTAAATTATATATTTGTGAGCAATAATGAACATATGAACATAGAAAGTCATCTTGAAAGCAGGTTTTTGAGAGATAAGAGAATTTCTAGAACACAAAGTTCCAAGCTTTTATTCCCCTAGACTTAAACAAAAGTCATGATTTATTAAAATTCTTTGGATGATTATAATATATGATATATTTTAATTATAAATTTTTGATTGTATTATAAAAGTAATAAATATGTTTAGAATTATTTTGTCAAGTAACTTCGAGCCAAAATTTAACTAAAGTGTTAAACAAAGCTCATTATCCCAGTCAACTTTCAAATTTTTTTTATAGAGATAAAAAAAGTTAAGGGCCTATCATTTAGACATAATTTTTAAATTAACATTATTTCATAACTATTCATTAAATTAAAATATGAAGATATTAATGTTAAATTTGTTCAATTTTAGTCATATAAAGAGTGATAACGCTTAAACCCATGTTCATCCCAGTCTAGGATTTTGTACAAATATAAAGCGGTGTTATATCTATCTACAGAAAAAAAATTTGAAAAAAATACCTTTTTTTTCTATGGCCATTTTCGGTTTTACACATCCGGTTTTCGATATTAATAAAATGTCCATCATATTTGTAATTTTAAAGATTAAGCTACAATATAAAATTAAATTGTTTTTCTAACATAATTATTTCTCGAGATATTTGAAAATAAATGAAGTGCATTTTGTCAAAAATGTACCATTTTTCCGCGCTTTAAACGGTCATATCTTAGCGGATAAACAGTGTTGGAAGGTAAAAATTTACCAAATATTATGATATTTTTATTTAAATATTTCTGAAATTTTAATTTATCATTTTAAAGATTAAACAAATTGTGTTTTCGTTTTTTTTAATAAAATTTTTTTCCTAGATTAAGATTTATTTTCATGGCAAAACTTTTAGCATCATAGACGTAGCCGAGGGGGGGGATTCCCTGCCCCCTTCAGAAATTTATCACTTTTTGTGAATATCATTTTACGCTAATAAAATATCCTCCTTAATCCTATCCCCAACCCTTGTCCCCCAAATATGTAATAAAATATCCTCCTTAATCCTCTCCCCAACCCTTGTCCCCCAAATATATATTCATATACAGGGTTGCCAGGTCAAAATTTTCAAATTGCGGGAGATAATTGGTATTATGCGGGAGAAATATGAAAATTGCTAAGAAAAAATTTTTGCGGGCCTTCGCCGGGATTTTGAATTGACTTAATTATCCGCCTATTATTTTTTATAATTAGTTTATATAAATACAAAGTCGGTAACTATTTTTCAAAATAAAATAACATCTTGAAAAATTAAAATATATTAATTTTAAAAAACCTACAATCTTTTTTAATATAAAAGAATGTAAACAAGATAAAATTTTATAAAAAAACAACTTTAATTTTACAATTAAAAATATATTTTATGCGAATGTCCCATAAAAGGACCAAAATTGGAAATCTACCGTGTGTGTATAACATTATAGAGATAAGCGCTTAATTTTAACGTATCACGTTTAAATACATAATAAGGTACTCCAAAAATAAAAAATAATACAGATGCAACTACAGTTGCGGCAATTGTAATCACTTATCTTGTAGTACAACATTCACAATACTCATCATCACAATGTTGGTAGAATCTTTTTCCCATAATATTTAACCACTCTAATATAAATGAAAACTATACTTGTAGAACAAAAATGTGTAAGACTATCATCAATATTTTAGGACCTAAATCCAGGAGGTTAATTCTTGACGATATGAAAGATGAGCCTACATATGCAATTCTAACAGATGCATCTAATAAGGAAAATATTAAAATATCTCCGTTGATCCTCCGCTATTTCAACAAAATTAAGGTCGCTTCAATAAAACTATTAAATTTTTCCCCTCAAATAGTGAAAAATCCAAAGACATAGCTAATAACCATAAAATTGTAAATATAGCAGATTCGAGATTATCAATAAATTGCATGTCAGCTTTCTGATCTGATAATGCCTCAGGGAATTTGGTAAAAACAGAGTGTATTTACAGAATTGAATCAGCACAATGTTGGTTGCGATATGTTCCTAATACCCGCCATCGATAGAATTTTAAAATTTTATAAACCTTATATAAATATTTCTTAAATAAAGATTATCAAAGCTGTCCTAACATTTTTAATATTTTTTTCAATAATGAATGGCAGAGGTATATTTAGGAATGATTTCACATGTAGGAAATGTTATAGTTTGTACTTAATCTATTAGGTTTTGAATATTAGAAGTTTAGTTAACATCATTATTATTATTAATTTGGTTCTCTATTCAAATTTATATTTCAAATATTAGATTATAATTTTAATTATTCTTATTACGATTAATTTTGTTCGCCATGCAAATTTATATTTCGTATATTAAATTATAATTTTAGTTAGCATTATTATTATTAATTTTTATTCGCCATGCAAATTTATAATTTTGAATTTTTATGAAAAAGGATTTTTAATGGCTACCAAAAAATATATAAATAGCCAAGAAAAATAATTATAATACACCGATGATATTTTGATTATTAATTTAATAAAAGAATTTACAGACGATATTTTGATTATTATTTTGGATTTGATAGAAGTTGAATAAAGAGTAAAAGTAGTGAATTAGTATTAAAAAATTATTAATAATTATATATTTATTTATTTATTATTAGTTCCATAGATATTCAGTCTCTCCCACTAGCCTCAGCAATATAAATATCAATCCCATATTGGTACAGTGGTGCCTTACAGTGATTTAGAAGATCAAAAGTCAGTCTAATTATACATTGGAACAAGGTAAAAAAAATAATAAAAAATAAATATATATAAATTTTTGATAATTTCGGTTTTCTTATTGATGTTATATAAATTTTGGATCTTGGTATTGGTTTTATTCGTATGTTTATATTTATTTAATTGTTTAAGATTAGTTAAAATTATTTTAATCAAGTGGTTATTGAGTACACTTTAATGTATATTACGCAAATAAATTTGTTAAGTTTAATACTTGAAAATATAAGTATAATTATATTTTTGTTGCTAATTTTAAGTTTCACGTTAAGTTTAATTATAGGAAGAAATACGACTTACGTTAAGATAGAGATTAAAGAGTTAGAAAATATTAAGAATATATTAAGAGAGGAAGATAAGAAAAGAAATATAAACAACTTCATACGAACGGATAATTACAGACAGATAAGTTGCTATAGCTGTGGTCAGCCAGGCCATATGTCGCGTGATTGTGATTTAACAAAAGATTTGAAATGCGCGAGATGTGGCAGGAATGGCCATTTAGCTATAAGATGTAGATTAAACAATATAATTGTGAGATGTAATATTTGTGGCCAGGATGGACACACTCAAGAAAAATGTAACAAATGACTAAGAAAGAAATATTTTGATAATGAATTTAATAATTTTTTTAATGTTGATAATTTAGTAGAAAATAAGAATAAATATTTTAATTTTAATAATAAATTTGGTAATAATAGTTTTTCTAATTTTAGTTCAGGTAAAATTAAGCATTTTAATTTTAATGATAGATTAGATAATTATACTAATTTTGTTAATGTTAATAATTGTAGTAAAAATAAGTATTTTAATTTTAATAATGATAATTTGGATAATGTTGATAATGCTAGTGCAAGTAAGAATAATGATTGTAATAAGAAAGATAAATTTTGCTATGATAAAAAGTGTTTTAACGTTGATAATTATAATTCAAGCGATATTAATAGAAGTGATATAAAAATAAAAAATAGAGATTTTGAAATATATAGAATTAAAAAGGCAACTAGTGTAGACGTACTAAAAATGAAATTAGAGAATTTTTTAATGAAAAATAGATGCCCTAGAGTAATGATAAACATGGATGAAGCAGAAATTTGTTTTTTATTAGATACAGGAGCAGAAATTAGTTTGATAAGTATAAAGGATTTTATGAGATTTTGGCCAGAGAAAGAATTTGTTACAAAAAAGATAAGAGCCAAACAATTGGATGGTAGCATGGTGAAAATTTTAGGGTATTATAGGGTAAGGTTACCAGGAGTTAATAAAAGTATAAATTTGTGGATAACTACGTTGAAGATTGAACCGATTTTAGGATGGTATGATATAAGAACGTTAGGTCCAGTTTATAATTGGTGGAAATTTTT